AGGAAGACTCTAGAGTCTAAGAAGCTGCTTTCTATATGTTGCCAAATAAGTGAAAGACAAACAGGATGGTGTGGGACCAGTTTGGGATTTGGGTCTGATCCAGCAGGGAACTCCTCAAGTACAGACAGAATTTGAATTTTGAAAAATGAATCAATTATAAATAAGGAGAAGGGCTTTATTGTATTTGGTGCTATGGTATGGTATTTTAAGATGCAGTAAGGTAAAGGTAAAGGGACCCCTGACCATTAGGTCCAGTCGTGACCGACTCTGGGGTTGCGGCGCTCATCTCGCTTTATTGGCCGAGGGAGCTGGCGTACAGCTTCCGGGTCATGTGGCCAGCATGACTAAGCCACTTCTGGCGAACCAGAGCAGTGCACGGAAACGGCGTTTACCTTCATGCCAGAGTGGTACCTATTTGTCTACTTGCACTTTGGCGTGCTTTCGAACTGCTAGGTTGGCAGGAGCAGGGACCGAGCAATGGGAGCTCACCCTGTCGTGGGGATTCAAACCACCGACCTTCTGATCGGCAAGCCCTAGGCTCTGTGGTTTAACCCACAGTGCCACCCGCGTCCCTTAAGATGCAGTAGTCCCTTCCTGTTTTCACAGATGCCCCAAATGGAAAACAGCAAGCAGCACCTGAGAACAATAGCATGATTTCCAGCAACTGGTGTTCAGAAGGATTTCACCTCCACCCGTGGAAGTAGAGCACAGTCTCCAGAATGGCTAGCAGCCATTGACAGACTTATCCTCCACGATTTTGTCTCGTCTTTTTTTTTTTTTTTATAAAACCATCCAAACTGGAGGTCATCACTGCCTCCTGTGGAAGTGAGTTCCATATTTTAACTACGATACCGGGGAACTCAGAATAATGAGTTGATCGTATTATTAATAGATATCCCCTTTGATATATGGTGCGTGATGGATGCTTTTAACTGAATTCTTCTTGCATAACATATATAGATGGAAAATAATTATGCACACACACACATACTTGCCTGCCTCAATTCTATTTGCAAGAACTCAGGTAGGGGGTGATCACATGGCTGAGCACCTCATTCCCCACCTCTCCCCCCCCCCATTCGGCCATCAACACACCCAAGAATGACTTATTTGTTCCACACGGAATAGCACGAAGTTTCCGAGGCACACACAGAGCAGTTCTTGCTCCATGCAGTCCTAGCCTCCTGTTGCTGCATCTTCTGCTAGGAAGCACACGCGAGGCGCTGTGCCAGTTACGAGCGTGATTCATCATCTCCATGCTCTCCACTTACATCACGATGCACCGCTGCCAATTAAAAGCACAAGCCTGCGTATGGCCGGGGCTGGCGTCCAGCTGCTTGGGCAGACGGAACCCATCAGGTCTGATTTTTTTTCATGTCTCTCTGGTGTCTCTTTGGCAGCCCCACCCTCACACAGTTAGCATTTCTCAGGCCGATAAAGGCAGAAAAAGCAAAAAGCAAAACCCCTTTGCTGTTTCAGATTGCGGATCAGTTGTTCATCCATCCCCTTTCACTTTCTTGGGATGTTCCACCCAGTTTAAGAATCTCTCTCTCTCTCTCTCTCTTGTAAGGAAAAAAGGGGAAAGGCGTTTTATTTTATGCAATGTTCACTTCCTCTGTAAAACTGTGAGTAAGTGAAATCAGCCCGCAAGTCTGCTAGTAAACAGAAATTGGGTTTCACATCCTTCCTGGACAAATAAAGTCGTGAGTGTGTGTGTGGTCACCAAAGCTATTCTTGAGATGATAAGAATGACAAGATCTCACTCTGCAACAGATTACACGGAAGTTCAATCAGAGTCATTATTACTTAAGGTCAAACTACGTGTAGCTTGCCTTTGCATCGTTTATAGCCTGCACACAGAGCAGATTGGGGTGCATGACACTGGGGTAGAGGGCTTTAACCCTTTGCCCCCCTCTCCCTGTCCTGTAATCCCAAATACAGCCCTCCCTTATGCCTGCTACTTGCAATGAGAGGAAAACTGTACAGAGTTATCCCTCTTTGGGGAAAGGGACATAGGCTAGCAGGCAGAGGAGGACTTGGAGTGTAAGCAGAATTGAGGGGCGAAACTTGTCTTGATGGGGTAGGGCCTACCTTGATCAGGCAGGGGTGATCAAATCACATAGTCAAGCACCCCAGTCCGTAGCTATAGAGCTTTGTTCCAACTAAGCAAGCATAGGGTTGCTTTGTGAACCTAGTAATACAAGACTCCCATCTTCTTTCTATAGGCTGCATGATAACCTCTGACCTTGCTGTTAAGAGTATGAGTCAGTGGGTCGGAACCCAGATCTGAGGGAGTGAACTTCCTTCTGTTCCTCTCCATTTTTGCGGTTATAATAAATGCAGCTCCACCAGCAAAAGTCACACCATGCCAAAGCTGAAGACACAACCCTCTTTGTCTAGACATAGCAAAACCGATAACTCTTGTGTGCTTTAGCAGAATTGAAAAATAAAATACCCAAAGCTAGGAGACAGGCAAATTAGTAATATTCACCTAACCAGCCCCATCAGCAAAAGCCCTGTGCAATAACCTCTACTTGCATCATGGGGCTTTCCTCCCCCCTGCAACTGGCCCTGGGGGCAGTGGTTGGGAGAAGCCCAGAAGAGCATATTGGAGGGGGGGTCATTGTTCTGTCTGGCAAGCTGGAATGCTTCTGCAGGCATGAATGACTGGAACAGCGTGAAGTTGAATTCTACCTTCAGTATTTAGAACACCCACAAAGTATATATTTCATAAGCTATCTGTATTTGCCAAAATGTAAGAATAGTTGGCAGGCCACCCCTTCAGCAGGCAGCATGTTTTGGGGGCCAATTCTGATGAGATGCTCTTTCTCCATAGGTCAGCAGGCAGGAAAAAAGAGGCATGAATCTGACAGGAAGATGGAAGCATCATTCCTATACTAACCTACCTGTGGTAGCTGCTGATTCATTTTCAAGGGCAGACCCACGTACAGTGCACTGCAGTAATCCAACCAAGAGATAACCGAGTGTGGATTACTATAGCCAGGCTCTGTCCAAGAATGGTCATAGCTGGCAAACCACTGGGCACCCAGGGTCAAAGCAGGATCTAAAGTGCTCCTGAACGACATATGGGTGTGTGTGTGTGTGCGCGCGTGTGTGTAACCATGTTCAGAGCTGGGCTAGCTAATTCCCAGACCAGAGAAGCACCTAGCCACAGCATCTCCATCTTGTTGAGATTCAGCTTCAGCTTATAGGTTCTCATCCACTCCATTACAATGGTCTGGCACCTCCCCAGTCTCAAATCCAGGCTGATGGATATGACCCCCTATAATAGGGGGCGGCAACTTTTTGTGCGTGTACCCATGGTAACTATTCATTAGTTGCCTGACTCATTAGTCCAAAGCAGAAGCTGCAGTTGTAGAGCACACCTTATTCCATACTGAGAGTTCTGGCAGCCAGAAGTATTTCACTGCCGTGGGCAAATTGGACTTCTTTGCCAGTTAACTTTTCCCTTGCTAATTTCTCTTAATTGCATCCATCCTAGAACCCAGCCCCACACAAATGGATTTTTGCAGCCATTTAAAATGTCCATCGATTTCCAGCAAATGTTATGGGAAGATTCAGTTTCAGGGTCAGGACCTTTCATGTTGTATTGAATATATTTAGGGTATATATGCTTCTTTTTGATGCTGACAGAGTCCCTCTAACACTACACATGCATTTTTATTATTATTATTATCAAGGGACTGATTCCTAAAAGGGAAATACATTTCATTAATGCATTTTTAAAAATTAAAATACTTCTATACCACTTTCACAGCAATTCAGAGTTGTTCATAGTGAATGTCTTTTTAAAAATCCAATTAAAACTGAAAACACAACAACATCATTACAGAATTTCTTGAACTATAGAAAGCAGTTTTTTAAAAAATTAAAAAACCCAGAGCTAAATGGATGAGGTGGGTCTTACACCACCTCCAAAGAGATGGGAAGAAGATCCATAGTTTGTAAGCATCCAACAAGATCTGGAGGTTCACAGGGTCCCCACCCCTGTGGGAGGAGATCAGGAGACCTCATTTGGCAAGTGGGCTCGTATCTTAATCTGAAACATTTTGTCCAACTGGTTTGGTGGGGCAGTGCAATACATCTTAGAAGATTACAAACTTGATTACAGCTTTCGGCATAGCACAATGAACAATAAAAGGTGGCAACATGTAGAATACAAGCTGCCAAAAAGGAAAACATAAAAGCATACACCATACAATACTATGAAGGCATAAATGCCTGTGAAAACAAGAAAGCTAATAGCTATATAAGTCATGAATCTCACTAGGAGGTCTTGCTTAAGAATAACCTACCATGCAAGAATGTTCCAATGATAAAGGTAGGTGTGTGTGGGGCAGAGAGTAATAGGAACACAGAAAGACTCAAGTGAGGCATATGGTCCTATTTAACCTTCAGGGAGATCAGGGCAGCCCATGGAAGGTTATCCTCATTCATCCGCCCAGCAACCCAGTGAGTTGGTTAGGCTAGGACACAGTAAATGGGCCAAGGCTGTCTGAGGAGTTTAGTGCAGCCTTTCGCGACCACCAGGTATTTTGGACTACAACTCCCATCAGTCCCAGGAAGAATAGCCAATGATTAAGGATGATGGGAGTTGTAGTCCAAAACATTGGGAGGACCCAGGTTAGTGAAATACTGTATGGCTTAGTGGCTGAATCAGCAGTTGAACCCAGTCAAGCACTCTATCCACTACAGCACGCTTGACTTGATTGTCACACACTGCATTCACAATGGATTCCTTCATACATCTCTTGTCTTTGGGGAAAATGAACCATCTATTTAGTTGTATCAATTGACTCTTCACCAAGACTTGATACTCTGTGTGCATGTGTGAGGCATCTTGGCTGTGAGTCCTGGAAGACCTGCTCCTTGCCTTGCAGGCCTTTTCCCACCCGGCCTGGGATGACAGAGCCCTGAGTGACTCCAATGACAAAAACAGAGGCTGTTGCACTCTTGTTGGTTTTTTGTATCTTTACTTTAGATCTTGTTGTGAGTTATGTGGAAATTGTTCAGTTTGTCTGCGTACTTTTGATGTTTGGTTTACTGATTATGACTGCTTTTGTTATGTTGTAGTTATTATTATTATTTTCATGTTGTAAGCCACCTTGAACATGGATAAACTGTGGCAACGTGGCATACAAACAACTTGATATATGTATCTTCTGATCCTCCAGTCTTTGCATTTTATTTATTGAAAATACTTATACCCACATTCCTCTCAATGGATACTAAGTTAACAAATAAGGCAACCATACAGCAGAGTTACTAAATGTAGCAACAGCAAATTAAGGCAGCTAAAATCTGCCAATCGCAGAGCAGGTTAAACAATCCAGACTATTCAGAGCAAATAAATACGTCTTAAAACCTTGGACTAAATCAGTGTTGGCTCAGGTTGCTCCACTTAGCGGAGGGCATTCCACATCACTGCAGAGAAATCTCTCCCCACCACAAAATAATACTTTTACTTTCTTGTGAAAGTGATGTCGACTCCTAGACAAAAAACAACACAAAAAACCCAGCCACAAACAGGCAATGCATTTAAAATTATGAATAAGCCTTGGTTTAAAAGTTCATTTACTTATACTATGCCATTCTTCCAAATCCATTCCTTCACTTTACAATAGTTGCGTGAGAAAGATTAATCCAAAACAAGGGTAAGCAACATGGTGCCCTCCAGATGTTGCTGACAGCAACTTCTATCATTCCCAGCTATTGGCCATGCTAGCTGATGGGAGTGGAGCTGGAGGGTACCAGTGGCTACTGTGGAACTAAGGATAGTGACTGGTCCAATAACTGTCTGCAAGTTTGATGAGGTGGCTATAGTTCCTCCCATCCATCTCCTCTCTCGTCTTTTCACCAGCCCTCCTCGCCTGTCTGCACAAAAGGAAACATGCTTGCAAACATTCCATATCTCTTCTATATTCCACCATGCATCAGAGGCATTCATGCAAGGCACAAATACGAGTTTCAAAAGTGCCTTTTAGTCCTGTGACAAAATGGGCTAGCAACAATTTGCATTCTGAACTAATGCGGCTGAGAATATGGAAGCAGTGAATCCGGGCAGAAACATGGCATGTGGTGAATGGGGGTGCAGGGAGGGCAGCTGCCCCCCTAAACGATGTAAATAAATAAAATATTGTGTCGCAGATAACTTGATTCTGCCCCCCCCCCCAAAAAATCCTGGCTATGCCCGTGATGCGGCGTATGTAGTCAAACAGTTTCCCCTCTTACAGGCTCAAGTTTACAGCTACACTTGCAATGTGGCTGAAGCGTTGTTGTGACAAAGGGGCAACAGTTTCCATGCACGCCACTGCAGGAGACGCAAATGCATAGAATAGGCATAACACATTGTGCTAATTCCCCCCGCCCCCCCACGTACAAGGAAAATCACGTGTAAAGAAGCCCTAAATGTTGCAAGCGAGATGTGTGGCAATGCTGTCACATGGCTACATGCCAAAGAGTCAAGTCACATGCAACTTTCTGAGAGAAGCAGTTCATCACAAGGTTATTTTACCTCATCCATTTCACATTTCGACCCTCAGAGGGATAACCATATTAGTCTATTACTTTGTGCGTGACACAAAAGAAGTAGCTCCTTAAAAAGGCTGAAAAGTTTACTGTGACAAAAGCTTCTGAGGATGAGAGTCCATTCCATCTGATGCACTGAAAAACTATTCTTGTCTTGTTTTGACATTGTCAAGCACAGATACACCTTCTGAACTCTTAACAATGACCAGTATCAGTTACTTTCTTAAGGCTGCAATCCTATGCATACTTGCCTGAGAATAAGACTGACAGGGGCTTGCTTTAAGAGCAGAAGAACAGAGGCTTCGGCTGTAAACTCCTACAAGAAATTGGGCAAAGATGGGGTAATCCACTTTCCAACTATTCATATTTTCACTTAGCCAAGTCCACAGTGCCAGATTCCGGACAAACCCAACACTACACAACACAGAATCAATCTGGTAGATCAGCCTTATGTTGCTTATATGAATTGGCTTAACTACTGACTGGGTTTTTCCACATGAAATCTGTTTCATACCTAGCTAGAGACCAGATTTTCAGTCAGGACATTACATTCTGTATGCTAGTTGTTCTTTGTGTACACAAAAAAAAAATATTCGTTAAGGCTGCAACCCTAGAACCACTTACTTGGGAGCAAGTCCCATTGAACAAAGTGAGACTTATTTCTGAGTAAACGTGCATGCTACTGCGGTATAAGCTTGCTATTCATTCATTTCCTTCATCTTCCCCTGCTGTGAAGCAGCTTTTTGTTTTTGTTTCCAGCTCTTTATTATGTACCTTTCAGGCCAATAGCTTCAGTTCTGAGGCTTTCGGTTTTTGAGCCAATGATCTTTTAGAAAAGAGAGGTGTATGCATTTTCCTTTAAAAAAAAAAAAAGTATATTCTTGAAAGGAATCTCCAAAAGCAGCCAGAGAAGAGTCCAAGCATAAAGGTCAGGCATGTGAAATATACTATGATCAACTGAGGCTGCAGTTCTGTACAAATTTAGCTTGGAAACAAACCGCACTTAGTACAATGGGACATGCTTCTGAGTAAACACAGAACCGACGCGGGGGAGGGGGGGAGCATTCCTAAGTATGCTGCATAAATTCTTATTGCTCACGAATAACTGTACTGCTAAACAGTTACCAAAAAAGAGGCTTCTCCCTATATCGCCCAACAAATTAGGTCATCCGAACAGAACTATATTTAGTCATTTAAAGAACAGAAAATAGTTTGCAGGAAAGAGGCGAACTACACAGGCAAAGTTCTTCACTGGCACCTCTTCGAAGGGGTAGAATTATAACTCTGGCCAGGCTAGTTAATACAAAGAGAGATCTACATTTCTGGAAATGAGAGATCTTCAAGTTACAGGGTGTGCAGCGTTTGACAATCGCAAGCTTTGATAGCAGAACTCTGCTCAAGATTCACATGCATCGCCTCTCGGTAGGGGAAAACAAAACAAAAAAGATTGCGCTTTATGCAGCCCAGAAGTCACTCACCGCCAGCACCCGGCTTGGCCCAAGCCTCGCCCGTCCCAGGACAAGACGCTCTCTGGCTCCAGTTGGCGCTTCTTTCTCTTCAAAGTAAATCCTTCCCTTTGGAAAAGCACTCGGAGGAGAAGATGGTCATGAAACCGCCCCCTCCCCGTCAGTCACGCCTTCTCCCGCCCCCTCCCCGTCCGCGTCCAATCAGCCCGGCTCTACCCTCTTAAAGCTACAGCGACCTCTCTGTGGGGTTCTTTAAAGGCCGACCGGGACGATTACAAATAGAATGGGCTCAAACGCGCGCGGGAAGGCGGCGGGGAGGGAAGAAAGCGATTGGCAGGCTTTATTTTTCTGAACGGGTTTGTTTAAGGCGGTCAGAGACGGAGACAGTCTTTTTGGCATCGGGGTCAGAAAGAGCGGACCCAGCTCCTTCAGGAAAATGGTCTGGTCCTTCCCCAGTTCCCTTCATGAATTGGCTTTTAAGGTGGATTTACAAGGTGCAGGCGTTTGGGGGGCGGCGGCGGCGGCGGCACCTTAAGGGGGCATTAGACGCGCTGCTCCTTCAGTCGTTTGGGATCCCTGGCTGTTTGCACGTGGGCTTGCTGGAGGGATCGTCCAGCAACGGTTGAGAAGGGAGGGGCGGCGGTTTTATTCCGCAAATAAAGCCAAGCTAGCGCTTCCCTAGCCATCATCGGTGCCAAAGAACGGTACGCGCCGCTCCCAACTCTGCGCATTCCAGATCCCTGCCTGTGTACGCGCTGCTATTTGATCCTGGCCACCCTTCGCTCCATCTTTTTTTTCTCCTTAATGGGAGGAAAAGATCCATTCCGCCCCCTTACGCTTCTTGCCTTTAGTGCATCGTTGTTGCGGGCTAGCATCGCGCGTCAGGACTCCAGAAGAGCCGTGCCGGGTCCCACCTAGTCAGTGCAGCATCCTGTTCTCACACCTGGCCGGTCAGATGCCGCTGGGAAGCCCACGATCTGAGCGCAGCATCCCATGCCACATTGGCAGGGCCCAGCACCTGGTATTCAGAAGTATTCTGCCTCTGCCTCTGAGAGTGGAGGGGGGGAAAAACACACCTGGATGTACATTTCCAAAATATAAGATAAAAAACAAATAAAACTTACATACAGCAACAGTGTTTTGTATTGTGTAGGCTCCTATGATGTACATATTTTGTTATGTGCAAATAGCTTTAGATACCTATTAGGTCCATAAATTACCATATAGCATATATTCAACACAAAAAACAGTGACAATTTGTTGTTGCCAAAGGACAGCTGGACATACAAAAGGCCCCATTACCTTAGGGCCTCATCAAACCTAAATCCGGCCCTGGCTGAAAGCAACTGAAACAATAAACTGAGAAGGTACCTGGTTTAAATACCGTTTCTGCCACGTTTAGGTGGCCTAACTAGGCCAGGAATTCTCAGCCTCAGCAACCCCCCCCCCCAAGCATTAATACTACCAGATCTATCACAGAGGCCAGCTCATTAGTGGCTTCTAGTTATGATGGCTATGTAGTATCTCCAGAACCATTATTAGTTGCTGGGGGTGTGTGTGTGTGTCACAAGATGGAGAAGCCAGTTGTGCTCATGTCCTCCTTGTTGGCTAGTTGAAACCAGGGTTAGGATTGCATCCTTCATCTGGATTTACGATTTCTAGTTACTGGGGTTTTTTATTTTTTAGAAAAACACCAGATTTTCCATGGAAAAAGTAAATCCAGCTTTAAATGAGAAAATGTTGTCATAGGTTCGAGGAACTGCTGAACTGGTTAAGCTAGTTTCTTTGTCAAATTGATGGCCAGTTAAATATCCTTATCTCTGTAACTGTAGGTATGGCCATGTTGTTATAGAGATTAACAGGAGATGCTCCCAGGAGGAGTGGGGTGGGCCTTTTCCTACCTCACCTGGATGGATGCCTTACCACCCTAGGAAGGAGAGCCATAGCCAGGAGGGTTAGCGTATGTGGGTGAGTTTTGCTGATGCTGGGAGCTCAAAGCTGACTTTCTTTGTGGGCTGAATCCAAAGCTATGGTTTGTGGGGCATCCCAGGAACTTAATGGAGACATGAGATCTGTTGGAGTGTTAATGCAGTCTCTCTCTCTCTCTCACACACACACAAAATTTTAATTCAAGTTTTTGGGGGTTTCAAAAGCACGTCTATTGTCTATTTTCAGGTCATAGTATCTTTTCTACAAATCAGTTACTAGGTGTGTCTTGTTGTCTGGTGCGTCTTATAGAGCGAAAAATACGGTATGTCCTATGTGAGACATTGATGCTGTATACAGTATAAGGTTGGGGGAGGAGAGAAGTGGGTGGCAAACTTGCATTCTTTTACATAGTGTATGTGTGAGGTTTTGTGTCAGCGTCACTTGGGTAGATTCTCTTTCTATTCATTCATTATATTTCCTTGGCAGTGAGAGAGGTTGGGGGGTGGGGCAGAGCATGGTTGGTTGTCTTTAGTTGGCTGCAGTGAGATTTGTTTGCATGGAGGGGGGAGGGAGAGATTGTTGGGTCAAGTTAATCTTTGGAACTTGAGCTGTCATGTGCTAACAGAGTTGTACTCATTTAAATGCAAAAATCCTGTGCTTGTTCTATCCAAAATTAACTTTCCAAAAGATGTTGTGGACCACAACATGGGAACCTCCCAACGGGATGCTTTTCCTTGGCTGCGTAACTTGTGCCTTTGGCATCAGGATGACTAGACGTTGCGCCAACTCACTTTCCTGCCACTTGGCATATCTGCACAGCAGGGACTATCTGGGAACTTGTAGTTCTCTGCGGGTGTGCAGGAGGGATGGTGACAGAGAATTCTCAACACCATCATTAAGGAACACAATCTTGGAATTGTTTGAGGGAAGCCATGACAATTACGATGGTACAATATGATGTACATTTGCAGTGTAAATATGCCTTCAGGGCTCCAGTGCTTGTATCCATTGTTGACTTATACACCAACTTGCAGCCATAGCAAAGGTGCTTTCACATACAAAAACCAAAAACACTGTCCTTCTCGGCATGTCATGAATGTAGCCTGGGTTTGGAAGGGGACCCTGGCAACGGTACCAGTTTTCAATCATTTATTAGTTCTATCTGTTCAAGAGTTCTCATCCATGCACACATGTTTGGCAGGGATAGCAAAAAACCCCCACACATTTGCTCCGAGCCTCTTTCTCTGCTTACTCTGACGAGACAAGTTGGCATCATGATTACAGGGCTCTCTGGCCCTATCAGGATGCTTTTGTAAGACTACTGCCTCGATTGGTGCCAATTCATGCCTTGCTGATTCGTAACTTGCAAGGAAAGTAGCTTACCTTCTCAGAGGCAAAGTCCTGTTTATTTGAGATAGCTAAACTGCTGAAAGCTATTGATGGCTAACATCCATTTAAACATTCACTCACTCCTTCAGTTCATAATTGATTACATTAAAAATAGTAAGAAGAATATAAGGATAAGTATCAAGAAAAGATATCTGAACTTTGGTGCAAAATACTATCTGATTTATCATGATGTGTGACAGGCAGCTGGCTGCCCATGTCCATGACAATCCCTATTTTGGAAAACTTCAGTCTAGCCTTGTCAGAAGTGGGAATTCTTTGTTACTGGTGGAATAATGCAACATCCCATGTTTGTCCTTGCAGTAACCCTGTGAAGAGGTAGGTTAGGCTAACAGATTGTGACTGGCCCAAGTGAACTTAGCAGCTAAGTGGGAATTTGGACCCGGGGTTTCCTACTCCAAGTCTGACCCTCTAACCGTTATGTCACACTGGCCAATAACAGAAGTGGAAGCTGACTTCTTCCAGTTTCTTGCTTCATTCTGGCTAGCTTTACTTCTGTATATTTTATTTAACAACTTAGATATTTAGACTTTTCTAAATGTCCTGCCCCGTTGATTGGATTTCTTTCAGCTTTGCGTATAATCTGTCTGGGAGCCTTTCTGGATGAGTCAACAGAGGGTTCACTTGGTGTCCTGTTCTTCCTATTCACCTTGATGTGTGCAGCATTTCAGCCCATGGTTGTGCTGGGGGAGGAATGGGAGCTTCTGCTGACCCCCGCATCACTTCTTCTACACATGCCCCTCTGTACTTGCATGGGGAGGGATCAGATCTGCCCAGATCTTGTGGTTGCTTAGGATTATTAACGCCGATGTAACTCTGCAATAGGGGACGCAGGTGGCCTTGTGAGTTAAACCACAGAGCCTAGGGCTTGCCGATCAGAAGATTGGCAGTTCGAATCCCCGTGACGGGGTGAGCTCCCATTGCTCGGTCCCTGCTCCTGCCAACCTAGAAGTTTAAAAGTACGTCAGAGGGCAAGTAGATAAATAGGTACCGCTCCGGCAGGAAGGTAAACGGCGTTTCCATGCACTGCTCTGGTTCGCCAGAAGCGGCTTAGTCATGCTGGCCACATGACCCGGAAGCTGTACGCCGGCTCCCTTGGCCAGTAAAGCGAGATGAGCGCCACAACCCCAGAGTCGTCCGCGACTGGACCTAACGGTCAGGGGTCCCTTTACCTTTAGCTCTGCATTACAGTCACGATTTTTACGCAGTGCTTGTCTTTGGATGGCTTTGCACAAATACTTCTGTTTTTCTTTTCTCTGCATCCCATTAGCAGTCACACACACAGAGAGATGCCCATGTGAAAAGGGGATGTCGTGATTCATTTTAGAAAAAATGCCTCTGCAAACAGTCCCAGGGGGAAACGAACAGCGAACCTGCTTTTTGCCTTTACGATTGAGCCTGGCACGTTGCTGAACAACCAGATGTGGCATTTGACCGTGGCCTACGCAGTGTCATACGTGGAATAGAAATATTAAGGCGAGCACGAACGCTCCTTTTGTGTTGCCATCGAGAGTCGTGAAAGCCAGCGGAGAAGAAGTCAGCGACACCTAGTGGCCGTCAGATGTAACAGAAAATGCCTCGTACAAGGAGCAGCGGTATGAAGAATAAAATAGAGTTCAAGCAATGTTGGAACATTGTGGGCAGCACATGCCTTTAATGTAGATTATGGGATGGGCAGGAGCATCAGCAGCCCTTGGTGTGGCAATAGGGGAATTCTAAGCACAGAAATGTGTTTTCAAGTGAAATGGTGGATGATAGACAAACAGGCTCATTTTGTTCTACCTGAAACACATTGATGATGAAGGGGCCATTGGGAAGAGACAGATTTCATCTTCGAAAGATGCAGCACTCTGTTAGGCACCTGAGCATGAGTTTCTTGCATACTAGACATGATGGCTGTGTTCTGCCTCCATTGTTAGAAGCAGTAATGCTTCTGAACACCAGCTGCTGTGGACCACAGGAGGGGAGAGTGCTCTTGTGCTCGGATCCTGCTTGCTGGTTTCCCACAGGCATCTGGTTGGCCGCTGTGAGAACAGGATTCTGGACTAGATGGGTCATTAGCCTGATCCAGCAGGTTCTTCTCAGGTCCATACAGAGTCTGTCGGTCACCTAGATAGGCTCCTTGTAGAAGAGGAGAACCAACTGTCTTGTGGCAGCATAAACACGGACAAATTTATTGTGGCAAAAGCCTTTGAGGTCTAGAGTCAGTGCATGAAGATGCATTTCTCAGAATGCACGGGTGTAAGGGACAACAAGTATAGAGGCCGGAGTTAAATGACAATGAAACACACAAAGAACAGTACGTGACAATTCCATTAGAACTTGAATGCATGCAAAACAAACTTAAAATACCACTGACCATAGTAATCTTCTGGAGCAGCTGTCCTACTTGTATGGCCATCTCCAGGGAGGGGGGTGTTGCTTGGGTGATGCTGTTTGGTCCTGTAGATCCCCCAAGGTGGGGTGCCACATAAATCAGTTTTATCCCCCATGCTGTTTAACATCTACATGAAACCACTGAGATGGGTTATCTGGGGATTTGGAGTACAACAATATAAAGATAAAATACAGCTCCATTTCTCCTTTGCATCTGTGGCAGTGGATGTGCCAGACCAGTGTCTGGACTTGGCAGTGGACTGGCAGAGAACCAATAAACTGAAGCTCAATCCAGGATACTGAGGCACTGTTAGTGGGTGATTCCCTAGACTGGATAGGTGGTGTTCAGCCTGTTCTGCCCTGGGCTACTGTGGAAGAGGTGAAGATTGTCAGATAGTAATATATAAACCCGTTCTGTTTCTGACCTTACATGTGGGTGGGTGGCTTCAGCTTCTAGCCAGCCAAATATGTGATGGTTTAAAAACATATGAGATGCATCCCAAGAGGTTCTTAATAGTGATAATACATTTGATTTGCTTCAGTCTTCTGCCATTAAGCTCTGAAAGCCCTAGTTAGATTGACACGTGCTATATCGTGGTGGGGGAATCATATTAGTCTGCAATGTGAGTAGCAAGACAAAGGAGATGTGGGAATTAATCATCCAGAGAGAACAAAAGCGATAATATCTAATGTAGCCCACTGATGAAATTTCCATGCAGTTTGCTTGCACTCTGTTCAGCAAATCCCATGGGCCGAGAAAGAATCTTGTAAGATGATGCAAGACACATTTGAACAATATCTCAGTGAATAATGCCATACAAAAACCATAATGTTTAATATGTTTTTGCTGGCTATAGAAATTGGCTGCCTTCAAAGTTAAGGGGTTTTCTTTTTTTTGCAAACCATTAGCTTCTAGTTTTAGGAACTGACAAACACAGCATGGGAGCAAAAGCACAGCCTCAGTTGGATCCATTATTTGGGGGATAATTTATGGACAAGGGCTGTAGTTCAGTGGTGGTGCAATTGCTTTGCATACAGAAAGCCCAAGGTACAATCCCCAGCATGTTCAAGGAGGGCTGGGGGGGGGGGGAGTATCTGAAACCCTATGCTGCCAGTCAGCATACTGAGGCCAATAGACCAATAGTTTGACTTGGTAGAAGGCAGCCTCTGAGTTCCCTTTTTGACTAAGTGAAATCTTACTGGTGAATCTGAATAGGGTTTTAGGTGTTTGCTTATTTGCTAACTATATCTGTCACACTGCCCAATGACACATGTTCTCTGGGCTGATCACAAAGAAATAGAAGAAAGAATAGATTTCAATATTAAAATATTGGGGGAAAATGGCGGCGCGTGTAGATGCTGCGGCTGGTTGCTCCTCAACTCAGAATCTGGCTTTTTTGTCCTGCCAAAATAGACTTGTTTATAGTCGGCAGGACATGTTATCTATTCGGCTACGGAGTGAGTGCTGCACAAATTGTGAGTGTCTCCGTGTCTGCAAGGAAGTTTTTTTGACTTCAAAGAACTGGGGAGTAAAGAGACACAGGAGAGACTGTAAACAGAAGAGAGGCTGTAGAGGAGGAAGGCGATTAAGGCAATTAAGGCTGGAGAAGAACGAGCAGTCTTAAGAACAGCTTCTTCTCCAGAGCGATATCGGCCCTGAATGGGAAGCCCGGACTTTGAAAGTCATCTAATCTCCCTTGCTGTATTATACTGTATTGATTAATTAGTGTTTTTATGGAGCAGTCAAGTAATTTCGTTGTCCCCGAAGGGGGCAATGACAATAAAGATATTATTATTATTATTATTATTATTATTATTATTTAAATTGCAGCAGAAAGCAATGCAAACATTTGTGGCTTTTTCCAGTAGAGGAATAAATAAAACAGTTAATGTGGATGTACAAATACAGTAGGAATCATAAATTGAGAAGCGCAGGATGTAAAAACAGAAGGTCTCTATATCTGGCACTGGAAAGGCAAGTTTGCTCCTACAAAGTAAAAACAACAGCATTGACACAAATTTTCCCCTTCAGGCACATAAGCCACAACCTCTGGAAATCTTTGGGGATTTCTTTTTGCCACATCCCCCCAAAGCAACAGAAATTTCTCTCCATATTTTTCAGAGAGGGGTAAATGATTTCATGGGTGTGCCAAGCGATTTTCATGACACCACGAATCTCCATCTAGGTACTGCTGCAGCTGGCATATCAGCCAAAGCTGATAAAAAGGTGCTTCAAGTCATGGAGGCCACTTGAGCGGTAGCTCTGCAGATGGCTCAGTTTGTAGAGCATGAGACTCTTAGTCTCAGGGTTGTGGGTTCCAGCCCCACAAGGAGCAAAAGATCCCCGCACTGCTGTGGGGGCTCTTAATTTTGGAGGGACTTTGAAACATGTTCTTAAATACCACATGCAGTTTAGTGTGGACTATGGAAAAGGGGCTGATTTGTTGAGAAGGGTCAAAAACATTGTTAAGCTGGAGTTCCCACGAGTGAAAGGAGCAGGAGACAAAGGAAAATACAGCTATAAATATGAAGAAGAGCCGCGGAAGGGACATGGAAGCGACTTAAGGGCCTCGGATATAAGATTACCAGGTTAATGCGCTAGATTGACGGGATAAAAAGGACTGACAAAACCCAGGACCAGGAGGAAGGGACGCTGGATGAAGATGGATTGTTTTATTATTTCTTTTTTATTACTAGGATTGTTTTATAAAATTGATGAATGTTAGAAAAATGTTGGAATGAAATTATTTGGCTTTAGCAAAAATGTTTAAAGAATTATGTAAGAATATTATGGTTATGAGAAGTTGGTAAAAATAAGATTTAAGTTTTAAGCTTTAAGGTTTTTTATAGTAAGATAAGATTAAAATAGATTAAGGTAATGTAATGACAGAATATTATGAAATATGGAAAGGATTTGCTGCGACAATTAACAACTAGGATACAAAAAAAGGGAGGAGGAGGAGGTCAAAGAAAGAAGGTAATGACAGTTAAGGATTTGAGAATGTTGGATTTGTTTTTGAGTGTTTGTGGTGTATTTTTGTTTTTTGAATTTGTATTGTTTGATGTGGTTTGTTTTTTCTTTCTCTTTTTCTGCTTTGTTCTTTTATGTAATTCTAAAAAATTTCCAATAAATATCATTTAAACAAAAAAGATCCCCGCACTGCATGGGATTGGACTAGATGATCCCCCGTGGTCCCTTCCAACTCTGCAATTCTATGACGACAACGCCTGGTTGAATAAGCACCTTCAGACTGTGAACTTGATCCAGTAGCACAAGCCCATCCAGAAGGAGTGGAACACCATTCATTTGGGGGATGAACCTCCGCCTTGTCTAGATTGAATCTCAGTTTGTTCACCCCTATCTATTACTGTGCACAAACGCTGATTCTGGACATCAGCAGCTTCCCTGGTATCTGATGAAATAATAATAATAATAATAATAATAATTTATTATTTGTACCCCGCCCATCTGGCTGGGTTTCCCCAGCCACTCTGGGCGGCTTCCATAGAAACAAAAAATACAGTAAAATATCACAGATTAAAAGCTTCCCTGAACAGGGCTGCCTTAAGATGCCCTCTAAATGTCAGGTAGTTATTTATTGCTTTGACATCTGATGGGAGGGCGTTCCACAGGGCGGGTGCCACTACTGAGAAGGCCCTCTGCCTGGTTCCCTGTAGCTTTGCTTCTCGCAATGAGGGAACCGCCAGAAGGCCCTCGGCGCTGGACCTCAGCGTCTGGGCAGAACGATGGGGGTGGAGACGCTCCTTCAGGTATACTGGGCCGAGGCCGTTTAGGGCTTTAAAGGTCAACACTAACACTTTGAATTGTGCTCGGAAACGTACTGGGAGCCAATGTAGGTCTTTCAAGACCGGTGTTATGTGGTCTCGGCGGCCGCCCCCAGTCACCAGTCTAGCTGCCGCATTCTGGATTAATTGTAGTTTCCGGGTCACCTTCAAAGGTAGCCCCACGTAGAGCGCATTGCAGTAGTCCAAGCGGGAGATAACCAGAGCATGCACCACTCTGGCGAGACAGTCCGCGGGCAGGTAGGGTCTCAGCCTGCGTACCAGGTGGAGTTGGTAGACAGCTGCCCTGGATACAGAATTGACCTGTGCCTCCATGGACAGCTGTGAGTCCAAAATGACTCCCAGGCTGCGCACCTGGTCCTTCAGGGGCACAGTTACCCTATTCAGGACCAGGGAGTCCTCCACACCAGCCCGAAAAAGGTGGGTGCCACCCAAATACTGATGACATCTCAGACAGAATGCCCTATATGATCTCTGCCAGCGGCTTCGTGTAGATGCTACATAGCACAGGGAAGAGAAGAGAATCCTGTGGGGAAAACATCTTTCATGGTAACATAATGTATTGTTTATATCGTAAATATAATACCTATTTGTTCATTCTCAGAATAACAAGTTTTCATGGGATTCCAGATTGCAAGCCGATTTATACGCCACCCTGGTATGTAGACTGAAGATTTGGTGGTGGATGGGAAGGGGTCTTGGGCCCATATTCTAATGTACGTTTTGTATTATTTGTAAACTGCTTAGAGCAGGGGACAGCAACCTTTTTCAGCAGGGGGCCAGTCCACTGTCCCTCAGACCGTGTGGTGGGCTGGATTATATTATTATTATTTTTTTTTGGGGGGGGAAATGAACGAATTCCTATGTCCCACAAATAACCCAGAGATGCATTTTAAATAAAAGGACACATTCTACTCATGTAAAAACATCAGACAGGCCCCACAAATAACCCAGAGATGCATTTTAAATAAAAGGACACATTCTACTCATGTAAAAACACGCTGATTCCTGGACCGTCCGCGGGCCGGATTAAGAAGGCGATTGGGCCACATCCGGCCCCTGGGCCTTAGGTTGCCTACCCCTGGCTTGGAGACTTAATTTACAATTAAGCAGTATACAAGTTTTGTTAACTAAATGAATAAATAGGCCCTCTGATGCCTGTAAAACATATTGTGAAGCTGAGTGTGTTCCGAATGTCTTTGCACATGGATCATGCTGTTTCTTTTTCATTAGATACTTTGACTAGCCACCAGACTAAAGCTATGTTGGTTTGTAGGTTTTGGCTCTGTGTCTTGGGACTTGGTTATGATCCCCATTGTTCAGTGATCTTGAATACTGGGGCAAATGCTGCCCTTATGATGCTTTCCCTCTCCATCACCCACCTAGTAAGAAAGGAAGGAGAGGTCAATTATTGGAAATGACAACCTGTTTTAGAATTTCATAGTACAGATTGGGCCACTTCTAACCACTTGCTTTTGTGTCAGGGAACTGCCATCAGTGCCGGAGGGAGAAAGCAAAATCCAGGGGGATTCCGGAGAGCGTCCCGGGAGTGGGAGAGGCAGCCCATCTTCTGGGGAAGAGAATCAGTGTAGCACCAGTGGAGAAGGGGGGCAGATGGGGGAAGCGGTGAGGCGGTCCCATGACTCCTTGCCGAGGACCAGCGGGGAGAGTAGAGGTCCTCCGCTGCCTACGCCCTCCTTGCGCAGAAGGCTTTTGCGCAGAGAGAGTAGGAGGAGACTAGGCGTCAAAGAGCTTCTTTGCTGGAAGAAGTTTAAGAAACGCCCACTGACGGATTCTGCCAGCGACTGAGACAGCCACAGGTGAGTGGCTGTCCGGACAGAAAAGGTTCACTCAGGCAACCCAGCCAGGTGTTTGCACCGGCTTACGCACGAGCAACCCCTAGAACCATTACATTTTGAATTTTAGTTTTCTGTATGCAAATGGCTAGCCCAGTTATGATCGGGTTGCCTATGGTAGGACCCATCCATCTTTGAAACAATTATTCCGATATTAGTAGTTCCACTAGCATACAGTGGAAGAGACTGGCTTTCATTTCACAGCAGGTGGAATAAGAGTAACCAAGATAACCGACCTCGGCGGCCCCTGCTTTTGGCCTTAGCAGCATACAAATCTCTCCTTGACTGTTGTGGATGGTTGAAGAGATGGAATGCAATGGGCCTGAATCTCCCATATCTGCTCAAGAGAGTGGGGAGGCCGCTTGACAGCTTCTCTGTAGCTGGAACAAGGCCATTATGAAGCTCTGCCAGAATGAATGAGGCTGAGTGAGCTGTAGAATCTCAGGAGAGAAGGCAGACCAGATGACCTCCCCCATTCTAGCTTCTGGCAAGTTGTGACACAAGACAGAACTTGGAAGATCCACAGGCTGAAAATGCCCATTGGCTGAGTGCTGGCAAGTGCAGGGAGGAGAGGCCTGTCCATTTCCTCCCCAGCAGGCAAAGGACCTGTCAAGATGCATCTGTGGGTTACTCTTGGCAAGCCATCTCCCCAGTTTATGCTCCAGTGACCGAAATTAGCTTTCTAAAACCAATATGCAAAGGTACAGTCAAGTGAGAATAGCTGGTTTCGTTAAAAATGAACAACACCTGTTCAAAATTTACAACTCAGTCAAAAGTGAAGGCAGACATAACTTGACACTACTTATCCCCATCCCCCAACTGGTTTGATGTAGTAGATAGAGTTTCTGCTCAAATCCTCTCCAACCTGGTGCCTTCCAGTAATGGCTGGAACCCTAACCATGACCAATACCCATGGATAATGGGAGATGAAATCCAAAACACGAGGCTGATGCATCAGGTCGGAAAAGGTTGCCCTACACATTCTGGATGATTTCAACAGCTACTTGAGGCAAGAAGGAGGACTGAATGGGGTGGAGAGACATAAGCCTACTGAATTCTCCCAGGATTCTCTGCACCCTGAGTGGACTGTATCATGTCCTGAGTATCTCCCATCCATCATACACAGTAGTGTAGTGTTGGATTAAGACCTAGGAGACCAGGGTTCTAGTCTCTACTCAGCCATGAAGTTCACTGGGTGACCTTGGGTCAGTTGCTGTTCCTCAGCATATCTGACCTCACAGGGTTGTTGTGAGGATAAAATGGGGAGAGGGAGGACCCTGGATACCCCCTTGAGTTCCTTAGAGGAAAGGTGAGATATAATATAATAAGAATTAATAATAATTTATTATTTATACCTTGCCCATCTGGCTGGGTTTTCCCAGCCACTCTGAGTGGCTTCCAACTGAATATGAAAAACAATACAGCATCAGACATTAAAAGCTTCCCTAAATGTAACAAATAAATAAATACATGCTACAAAACATACATAGTGATGATGCACACACAACATAGGCATATAATAATTCATTCCAATGATTATAGTCCCCAGCCATTATATTCACTAGCCAGTAGAGGAAACAAATGAAGTTTGTATCTGGCATAGAAATGTCAGGAAAAGGGTGCAGTGATTTTCTTCTCCTTTCTGACATTTTCTGCAGCTTTCCAAAAGACTAATG